CCTTTTTTACTTGTAAACCATTCCATGAATGGAAATGGAATAAATAAGAACAAGCATACTAGGTAAACCGTCGCGCATACGACACCCATGCTTTCCGGGCTGTATTATATATATATATATATATATATATATATATAATATAATTGTTAATTCAATATTCGTATAAAATCTAATTTTCCCTCAATATAATTACATGATTTGCTTATCAAGTTTATTCAAGTCTTTTCCAACCAAGTTTGCTTTTAAAAAACTATCTTTTAATACGGGAACAAGTCGCCATGTTATCGCACAGCCAAGTATCGAAAATCCTATTGAGGCTGATAATGGATCATGAACAGTGTTGAATATTATGACCAATGCAAGAAGAATAACTGATGTCAAGGTTAATGAAGCTGTGGTGGTAAGCATTGAATAATCCGGTTTTTTGTTTCGAATTAAGAAATACTTGAAAATGGAATATTTATAGATTTTCTACTGGTATGTTTATAAACACGCGTGAAACTCTTATTGGTTATCCCAAATTTAGTTGGTGTCTCTCACGTGAGATTCTACTTTAACATAACATCGTCATACCTATAGTCAGTGTTGTCAATGGACATGGACATGGACTGTCCATGGACATGGACATATAAAAATATGGATGTCCATGTCCATGAACATATAAAAATATGGACATTGGACATTGTGTCCATGGACTGTCCATGTCCAATAATTTGCTTGGACATATGTCCATGTACAACACTGCCTATAGTATTATATAATTTCTACAGTACTGCAGTAGAAATTGTTAAAATAATTTTACCAAAGATTTTTTTAAAAATGAAATGCTGAATTAAATTTCAACAGTTGGAATTTGTTGAAATGTAGAAATTAATTTATATACAAAAATTATATAAACAGTTGAAATTAATTTTTAAAACAAAATATATTTTAGAAATAGCTATTGGATTATTTATCAGTTTTGAGAAGGTCATCAAATTTGAAAACATTATAAAACTATTTGAATTCGTATAACGAAAACAGATTTGATGAATTAATTTTTGAGATTTGACAGGGAAGCTCTACAGTATTTAAAATAAGCTATTCAAACTTAATTATATGATGAATTCTTAAGAGGTTTTTTATCGTGTTTACTAAATACATGCCAAACTTTATAGTGAAAATCAAGACAAAACTAAAGTTGCGTCTTATCTGTGACATTCACAGTCTTTTATAGATAATATCTAAACTCAATCATCTATTTATAATTTCTAAACCAAACTTTCGTGCGTTATGCATTCTACATATCTTTGATATTATTAACTGAGGTATAGATAACGCTAATAACATGCTGTAGAATAATAGGTTTTGCAACAGAATTTTTAGAATAATTTATTTACAGTAACTCATGATAGAAATCATGACAATTCCAATGCAAACTAACCCAAACTTAAGCATACATCATAGTCATTGAATAGCGAATAAGTTCTGTAACAGATTTTTTTATAATAACTCGCAATGGAAATATGATAATTTCAATGCAAAATATCTCATTTTAACCACATATTGTGGTCACTGGAATAGTAAGTATTGTAATAAAATTTTTTAAATAGCTCATGATAGAAATTATAACAATTCCAGTGCAAACTAACTCATCTTAACCACATATTAGTTAATGGAATAGCAAGTAAGTTTTAACAAAATTATTTACAATAGAATCATGACAATTCTAACCACATGTTGTGGTATTAGAATAGTAAGTTTTTGTAACAGAATTATTTACATAACTCATAATAAAAATCATAACAATTCCAATGTCAAATTTAATGCATATTATGGTCGCCAGAACAGTGAATAAGTTCTGTAACAGAATTTTGTTTGCAGTAGCTCACAATATAATCATGATAGTTCTTAACTCATTATAAATTATTTTTTTAGTAGTTCATGAACAAATTACATTAATTTGAATGCAAACTAACTCACCTTAAACACCTATTGTGATTATCGGAATAGCGAGTAAGTTCTACAACAGAATTACAAAAGAAATTATGATAATTCTGATGCAAATTAACTCACCTTAACTACATATTGTGATTACTGGAATACGTAGCAAGTTCTGTAACAGAACTTTTTCAGTAAACTATGTTAATTCCAATGCAAACTAACTCAAACTTATCTACATACTGCGATCACTGGAATAGTAAATACTGTACCGGAATTTTTTACAGCAACCAACAATAGAGACACGATAATTCTGACGCAAAATCACACTAGTGATAAAATGATGAATAAATATTATAATATAGAATGCGTTGTAATGAGAGACAATATAGAATAGTTAATTAGAAGTAAAATGAATTAAACAAAAAGATAAGGCAAGAATTTAGCTACTTAATTGTGATAAAGAAGATTGAAATATTAAAATTTATATATAACCTAAGTGTATAAAAAATCTCGTCCAAAAAATTTGTACTAATATAACAACACAAAATAACAAATAATGTGTGTATAAAGACTACAAAATAAACACCTCATTAAATCACTAATACAAAGCTCTACCTATTTTGCTATAAATAATGTGAAATTGATATTGAGAATTACACTAAAATTACTACGTATGACAGGTTAGTATACAATAATACAATACGATATAGCATACTCTATTCTAACTCCCTTTAAGCGAAGTACCCTGGGTCTTTTGCAAATTCGGGCATTTTAAAGCACTTTACATGAGTGGGTATTTTTTTACAAGGTTATGTAGTTTACTATTAACGCAGTATAAAATTGTACTGAATACTCCTGGCATTATACCTGGATATTTTACAGTTATTAAGGTACGTATTCACTAAATTCATGCGAATATAATGAACTTAATATGAAATATGTCATAAACTAATTACTTTAAATACATCAATTAATAATATATATTTTATTTTGACAGTTAAATTAGTTTCAACAGTTGAATTAATTTAAGCTATTAAAAATAATTTCGGTTACAACTGTTCAACTGTTGAAATATCGATATCATAAAATTAAATTTTAATTTCACCATCTATAGTCATACCGATACCTGATGCAGTTTCAAGCTTTTTAGCGTTAGAGCCGTGCATCTCTAGTACGTACGTATCAGGTTTGCAATAAAAGTAATACTCTTTTATTAATAAAACCCTAACCCTAACTTATACGTACTAGAGTTCGTTAAAATTCGGTCATAACGATAAATTTGGATACCATCTGATTTATCTGATTTGAAAGCTTTAATCGAATAAACAAACACCTGATACGTATCCAGTTTAAAAAAAATAGTATAAGTAGTATCCAAGTAGTATCCAAATATCTTTTATTATCGTTATAACTGTGTTTAAGTATATTCAAACGCTAAGATTAGAGTTGCAGGTGAAACTAATTAATTTCACCAGTTTCACCAGTTTCACCTGGTGCACCATCGGTGCACCGTTGAAGATTAGCTTCATCTATAACTCTAGTTTTATCATCGGTGCACCAGTTTCACCAGTTTCACCTGGTGCACCATCGGTGCACCATTGAAGATTAGTTTCACCTGCAACTCTAGCTAAGATATAATGCTAAGATATAACGCTAAGATATAACGATATGATATAACGATATGAAATCATCAGAGCAATATCGATGTGTTAATTAAAATTCATATGACACATATAAAATATAAAATATATACAGTACTACAAGGCTTTAGACAACATTCGTTTTTAGGTATCCTCACAGCAAAATTATTTTATTAAAAAAAAAAAAAGAACCTTTTTAAATTTTAACTATTTACATGAATAATTGCTAATACTAAATTTTTGAATATAAGATGTCAACAACCTCACCAGAGAAGTAACATATATTGATTATGCTGTTGCAGATTGTTTAAGATTGGTCTGAGTCTCCCGCAACTGCTACTACTACTACTTTATCATTAGCTGCTTTTGCTTCTCTATTAAGGTGCACCGTCGGTGCACTAGTTTTACCAAAGTGAAACCAATAAGAAAGGGGATCCGTACCCAATTTTATTCTTATCGACTAAATTAATGATTTGTACGTAATATCGACAATAGAAGAAAGGTCTCTAAAAAAAAAAAAATAGTCGTTAGCACAATTACCAAATTCAAAAGGGGGCTATTACAAGTGAGCCAGTATATGGGTGTATTAATTTTTATACCATGGCAAAGTCACGTCTCTGTCGCGATCGTCGTCGTGACCGTCGTCGTGGTAGTGGTGGTCATTGCTATATTGAAATATTATTAAATTTTTTTGTAAGAATCTAGCATATATAAAGGTCGCCGTAGCGATGTATCGCTATCCTATGTGCGGAGTTTCAAACCGTGGTTACAGATCATGATTTGTAAGCAAAATTTGAAACTCCGCATAGACTGCGATACATCGCTACGGCGATAAATTATAAAACCCTATATAAAATTACTTTTTGTAAGAAATACTTTTTTAATACGTATATATATACTAACTTTTAATTTCAATCTTAATTTCATCTTCATTATTATATTTTTCTTCAAGGATAGACTGATACCATCGTTTTTCATCTATACTTCGATCATTTGATCGAACATCTTTTGATAATCTTAACTGTAATAAATTCTTTAAATTTTGAATCGGCTTATTTCCTACAACAATTTCTATATTATCATTATTTTCAATTACATCCATTTCAATCTCTTCACAATTATTTAAAACTTTGCTATCATTTACATTATTAATTATTTTTTTGCCTTTTGTATTTTGTCTCTCATTTGGTTCTTGCATAAATTTACAAGAATAATTTTTTGATTTGTAATGTAAAATGTTCTGATAAACTTCAAACATACCAAAAGGTAAGAAACAAACTTCTCCTCTTGATAATTTCGGTTTTATATTTGCAGGAAGTGATAAATGAAATATTATTAATTTTGCAAATTTTTGATTTTTTTGATTTTTTGTCGTATCAGTATCTTTTTGTGATATTATATCAGGAATTGGTATATCAAAAACTCTAGGTACAAGTCTAGCATCAGAATATAATTGCTCTTCACTAACAACATGTGTTAATCTATGTAAAGATTGCATTAATTCGTATCTAAACCCTTCCAATACGTCATTTTGTTGAGTAGTTAAATTTAAAGAATCAATCTCGTGATCAGAACTTTGATGTTTAGAGCTGCTAACTTTGTTTGGTTTAGCATAATTTCTAGAATTACGTTTTAAATCTACACTTGTTATAGCACCAAGGAATGAAGTTCTAAGTTGTAAAATTAATTCACCTAAACTAATTCCTTCTTTTGATTTTATATGAGCCATTTCTATTTGTCCGATTGTTTTAACTGTAGGAAATTTCGAAACAGGAATTTGATGTCGAAAATTTTCCATTACTAATACTTCAAGTTCATTTTTAGCTGAACTTACATCATTATAAAGTTTTTCATTTCTTGTAATAAATAATCCAGCATAAACACTATCAGCTTCTAAATAAGGTTGTAAACCTGAAATCGAATATTGAAACATTCTATCTAAATAACC